AATTTATTAAGTTAAATTTATTAAATACATACGATATTTCAATCAGAGCTTAGGCTTTATACAGTAGTGCTCTAAGACACGGGTCACATGCCAGTTAAGTACATATCCAACAACATACAATATGCATTTTACTGTGGGGTTGTGACGTTTTAACATAAAACATAAAACTAATGGCAGCACATGGGGCTTTACACTGAAACCATAGAAACGCATTTCTGCAATCTGTGTACTCCTGACACCAATGAGCAGAAGTTAGACATTTTAATGGCTTTAAAAATAAAATCATTTGTTGATGTTCAGCTGGTGGCACTTTGGTGAGCATTCAGGGGCTAGCCAGCAGATTGGTGGTTTGAAACTACCTGTGGTTTCCAGGGAGACGGATGTGACCATCTGTCCTGGAAACCCAAAAGGGCAGTTCTACTCTGTCCTTTATGGTTGCTAGGAGTTGTAAGACATCATGTGTTTCCTTCCTCCTGAATATACTTCTGAGGAGAGCAGGGGTTGCTCGTTAAAGTCCCTCTTGGGTCTGCACTATAGAGGTAAATATGATTATGTGATGATGAAGTTGAAAAAAATTCAAAGGCAGTAAATAAAGAAGAAAATATAGTTTTAAAGAAAAAAAAATGAAGTTGAAGGACCACTGAGCTTCCTGTTAAGAGATAAGAATTCTAGTCTGACACTAACATATGTACCTGTCTGGCACTCGGCTAGGTATGTCAGCTCTCTGAAGCTGAGTTCCTTCGTCCTTTAATTGATGTAACTCTGAAGTTTGTCTTATCAACCTAAGAACTTGATAGCATCTTTTAGTGGCCAACATTTCAGAGTCGCTTTGTGTTGGATACTCTCTGAACAAGTGGGAAGTGACAGACACTTCTAGGCTGGTAGCCACTGGACCCCTGGCAAGGCCTGTCAGGTAGTTAATGGCCAAGTGGAGAATATGAAAGTCAACAAAAAAACATGGACACATCATCATAACTTTGGGAAAGACCTCAAAAGCCTTAGGCTCAGCCTTGTCCTGTCCCCTCAATGAAAGAATAGCTTCAACACAAGTCCTGGGATAGATGTATTGCACCGGGGGTGATGGAATGAATATGAGTCAGGAGGATAACATCTCAGCTCTAGGTTCACCATGATTTCACTGTTTGGCCCCAGACATGTGGCTTCTTCTGTCTGGACTGATATGGCCTTCTTGAAACGGAGTCGTGGAAGGGGATGGGGCACTACCTGTGTCTCAGAGGTGAGGAGGTACTAGATATGGCTGTTTAGTGGGACAGGGCATGATTGTGGCTCTTCCGATCCACATGCTTGCACCCCGGAGCAGGATTTAGCAGTTCTCTCCACACCCAGCTGCCAATGGGATGCAATATCTAGGATAATGAGGCACACTTAAACCTTTTTTGGCAAAACATTTCCAGGATGCTGGCGCTGAGGAGAGCAAACAGATCTGGAGGCCAGAGCCTTCTACATGTGTTTTCCAAGGTGCAGGATATAAACAGTCCCATCCTGAAGAGTTAATCCCCAATGTCGCAATCATGGGAACACGATTAGGAAAGCATTTGGGAAAATACCTTGCAAGAGAATGTTGGCAATGCATGTGCCTCCTGCCTAGCAATCTAGATGAACTTTTTACAATCCACAGGATTACTGACGAGCACAGAAGTGGAATTTCCTCTGAGTGACGTAACTTAGGTTGAAATGGGGCCAAGGGTTCTGACAAGCCCTGTTCGTGAGCTGAACCAGGCACTTTCTGGGATGTGAAGAGGGCACCTTTCTTCATCCTACAGCATCTTAGGTAACACAGAATGGGGCATTTTAGAATCTCGATTCATTCTGTTCTGGTACATAGATTAAAACTGTGTTAGGTAAAACAATGATAACCACTCCATGCATTTTGCTCATGATTCTTGTATTTTCTGAGGACGTCACCCCCCCACCCAATTTTATGCTATTTCTGGGTCCACTGTATGGTTCTAATATTGACCAGGGTGTTAATGACCACAATGATAAGCAGTAAGTCATGACCTCTTTGCACACATGGCTCAATGGAGTGTGTGTACCCTAAGAAATGAGATCTTTGTCCTCACCTCTTTTATTGATGGAACAGTGTTCTTGAGTAGCTCTTTTCAAAAAAAATTAATAGTAAACAGAAATCATGATCATCCTTCATCAAGTGGCAACCATTTTCATAATGAGAAAGTATCCATGTGCCCAAAGTGAGCTAATTAATTAGCTAATACAACGAAAATTAATGAAAGTGTCTGCAGACAGCAGAGGCCTTGAGCAATTCGAATGAGTGCATCCTAGGCTAGAATACTTTATTTCTGCAGCCCCCGGGCTATAGTACCCGACAAATACTTGTGGAATTGTGAATTCAGCCCTTGAGACCCATTTAACTAGGAACTTTCCCACTTCCCTCCTGTTTTCTAAAGCATACTCCTCCTTCCTCTCTTTCTTAAACCCTTGGATGGACTAGTTCGTAAAAATCATTCTTCCACCTTGGTGTTAAAAACAGTGCACTAAGTTCTGTCATGAAGATAATGCCTTGGGAATAAGTTCTGACTTGAGTCTCATTAGAAATGTCTTTTCGTGTGTTTCTGAGAATTAAAAAGAAATCCATGTAAGCTTGAGTTAAAAGATGTTCTTCAATAAACAAGTGACGACCAGAATAAAATAAATAAGTGCCAGGGAGTTTCTCAAAACCTCAAGACTCAGAATGCGAGGAAATTCCTGTTGCTTGGCTCAACTTTCAAATTGAGATGGGCTCTTCTGGATTCCCTGGGGAAGAGGGGGCAAGCCTAAAGCAAGGCCCTTGCCTTGGCAGGCAGCATTCCTTTCAGTGTTGGAGAAGATGAGTAGCCCAGTCTGACCTCTTCTCTTGCAAATACCTCTCCTACACTCAAGGTAGGCCACTCTGCCATGCTCGCTGGGGACAAGTCCAGAGAGAGCATGTGCTTTTGAAAAATGAAGTGTTATTCCTATTCATGGAGTCAAACTAGAGAGGGAAAAGACATTACTCTCTCACTGCCATCCAATCCGTAGCAAGCCCCCTGTGGGTTTCAGAGATGAACTGCTTCCAGAGTAGAAAGTCCCAGCTTTCTCCCACAGAGCTGCTGGTGGTTTCCAGCTGCCGCCCTTTGGGATCACAGCCCAACGGGTAACCACGACACCACCACCAGGCTGCTTTGAAAACATTCCTCGTCCTCTAGGCAACATGGTTCTAGGAGTGCATTGAACCAATTCTGCCTTATCCAGCGAGCTTTGTAATTACTGAGCAACTTTTCTTCTCTGCTTTAAGGCAAGGGTAATTCCTCCGCCTGAGATAATCGGTCCCTGTGGTCACCTAGTGTCCGCCCACCTCTTGGAGGGCTCACACAAGCTTCACTTCCTCTCAGACCCCACCCTTCACTGTGTCCCCTCTGAACCCTGGGCTCACTATTGAAAGAAGCTGTTGAGAAAGAGTCCTGGTTTATGTTTGCCTCGAGAGGTTAAGAATATGCGTGCAGTCTTGACCTCGGGAGGAGGAAACTAGAAACTAAGCTATACTTAAGTATAACAAATGATCGTTGTTATATGCGTGTAACAGATATTGACTGAGTTCTGCTACACCAGTCACTGCACTCAGAAGCCAGGCTGTGCATCTTTCTGCCTCGACAGTTTCTTGGCAGCAAGGTTAAGACAACATCTGGGCCAAAGTTTGCTCCCAGACCCATCCCTCAGGCCTCCTATGATCGTGAATAGTTATGCTATCTATAATAGAGGCCAATACTCTCAACATCACAATGGATGTTCGGAAATTCAGACATTTTAGTCCCATAATTGTCCAGTCCTGGGAAGGAGACGGGTGGAGGCCATGATTTCTGCTTTATAAGCAGGTCAACAGAGGGCAAGAGCAGAAATGTCTGCTCTGCATCAGTGATAAAACATCAGACCAACTGGAGACTATAATCCCATTGAAGCACACGAGGGACCTTCTCCACACCCAGCCTCTGCTCTGGGCAAGACACCCTTGACTGGGTTGATCAGCTAATCCCATATCTAAATTCCTTTGTGTATTTTAAAGGAAAAATACCAACCCAACACTCTGCATGTAAATTGCACATCAAGTCTCAAAGCAGCTCTAAGTGAAATTCTTCAGATTTGTTGATTGACTGTAACCCCTGGGAATAAGTTCATGGTCCCCCGGCCATTGCGTTTGTTTTCTAGCTCTCTTCTTAGCTAGAATTTCTGTATTCTAGTTTTCGGAGTGAAGTACTCAGCTACATGGCTTACGTATTCAGGAGGGCCCCACAAAGCTTATATAACGGTATCAGCTGTTGTTTTCTTAAGATTTGGAGCTAATCCTTGGTGCATGTTGAGTAATATTTGACCAGGAGGCATCTGGAGATGTTCATATGAGATTGGAGTAGAGTTTAATCTTGTTCTTCATAATCTCCACACCAGTTCCCAGCTCGTAACAGGTGCTCAAGGAAACGGCACTGTGTTTTCAATACCCAGGTGGAACTCTGACGTGCTTCTTTTGATGCCTGTGTCCACCATGAAAGGAAAGACAGCTTTTCTCACATGCCCTATAGTGCATGACAGCCACGCTCTCTTTTGAGAAGGTTTGTGAGAAGTACCAGCTCTCTTTTCACATTTCAAGCAGGGCGCACAGGTATGTGCTTCGGGAAACAAAGTCGGGGTTTTATCTTGAGAGGGCTTACACGTGCTTTCTAGGATGTTGGCCTTTGTAGAAGGCTCCTTGACTTCTGGATCCAATAGGCCCTGGTGACCAATGTGTAGCAGGAAGGCAGAGAATGTTCCTTTTCTAATCTTGATCTGAGTGGATCATTCAGTGATCCATATTTTAATGTTCGGAAACTCATTACTCTTCCAAGTCTGTTCTCTTCTGTCCTTTCCAATTAGTATTTTCATCAATAAGGCATATAAAATGCTAATGTTTGGGTCCTAAGTCATAGTTAACCCACTGCCTCTATGGAATATCACATTGGCCCCAAGGAAACCCCTATCTATATGGAGGAAAAGCAACTAACAGGCAGAGGCAGAGGCCCTTCACACAATGTCATCTGTAGTGCCCTTATAGCAAGAAGGCTCAATGTCATCCACAGTACCCTTACAGCAAGAAGGCTCAATGTCATCCACAGTACCCTTACAGCAAGAAGGCTCAATGTCATCCACAGTACCCTTACAGCAAGAAGGCTCAATGTCATCCGCAGTGCCCTTATAGCAAGAAGGCTCCGAAGAAGGTTTTATCTTCTTTTGTGTAATCAATCAAGGAGATGTCGCTGACATTCACCATCAATTTATCACCTTCGTGCAATGAGAACACAGCCCCCAGGTAGATGGGGTGGAACCAGTTGTTGGTTATTTCACACACTGACTTGGTTCCTGTGAGGAGCTGAGTAGGCTCGGGGTACCGGACTGTTACCTTGGTGACTGTAACGATGATGGAATCTGGCTTGCTTGCTTGTCTTCCTTGGCCACACTCAGATGTGGTCCCTCGGAATGTGATCTGTGAGTAGACAAAGTAATCCCCCGACTCTGGGATAATCAGGGATTTATCGGTGTAGTTCATCCGGTTCTTGGTGAAGGCCAAGCCGAGTTCATGCTCCCAATGCAGAGCCGGGAACTGATTTTTCACGTTCTGTGTGGGCGTTGGTTTCACAACTACAAAGACAAGGCAGAGGTTGGATTGGCTTGTGCAGGAACCTGCCCACTTTGCGAACAAGTCTCCTATCCTTCAAGGAAGAATAAGGTGGCTGAATAAAACCAACAGCCAGGTGTCTTGGGGGAGAAGCCACAGAGGATGTATGAATGGATGTCAATGTTTGGTCCAAGAGAGCAGCATCTTGAGCTGGGTGAGCTTAGTCAAAGATTTTGTCTCTCTGAACTGAGTTTTCTTATTTTTCATTAAGAAAGAAGTGAAAGGAGAAGGAGGAGCAGGAGGAGAAGGCGAAGAAGAAGAAAAAGGAGAGGACCATCTGTGGAAAGAAGGCAAAGAGAGGGAATAGTAAAACACTGAACTATTACGACTAGCCTCCAAGCGACACTCACTTTTAAAATGTCGCTGTTTTAGAAGAGCTATGCTACAAAGAGAAGATGTTTCAGACAGACAGACAGAGGACAAAGAGACTGATTCAAGTGTTCTCTACCATTTCTGTTTTCCTTCTATGGTCCAAGGCACATAAAATGTAGGGAGTGATTAATAAAGAAGCAACAGGCAGGGCATATACTAGAGCCAGAGATCTAGAACATTTTGGACATGTTACTCTGCAGAGATTAAGGCAAACGATAAGCCAGTAGTTTGTGTAATAGAATTGGACCGGGCTTGGGGCCATTTAGATCCAGTTTCAAGCCCAGTTCTGCCACACACTAGTTTAGGAACCAGACACACAGGTTCCTGCTGTTTTCTGAACCTCAATTTTCTCTCTGTGAACTGGGGATAAATCTCTAACATTGTATACAACTGTACTCTAGAAATAATTATCTGACACCCCCCCCCAAATAAATCATTCTCTCTCATTTCAGAGAAGTAAAAAAATAAATCTTTTAATTTACATTTTTCCTGTTCATATGTCTGCATTGCTCACAAGTGTATATTATATAGCACCTGTGAATGAATATTTTTATGAAATGTCTATGGCAGTGTAGGGAAAATGAATAAAATCAAATGACTGATTAAAATAATTGATTTTCAAGAAGATTATCTGCAATCAGATTAGCATGCTTCAAAAGTCACATTTTTAAGTTCCTGCAATTGTTTTTGAAATCCATAACTATGACTTTTATGTGCTGGCAGCTACAGTTTGGGGCTAGATTATGTTTAAAGACACCATTTTGCAAGCTTCATTCCAGGTGGGTGACCAGAGACCTGGTTCTTAAGAGTTTTTCTTAAAGCTTCATTCACAATGATGACACATGCCCAGAAAGTGTGTATTCTGGTCTGGTCCCAGGAGCGAATGGCCCCTGAAGAGCACCGGTGCTTCTTTGCAAAGTCTTTGCACATGACTTTTGTTATGCAACCCTGAAAGTTTTGACTCCGTGTTTGTGGATTAAACAAATTCCTCTTGGATGTCATGAAAGCAAAATTCAGAAATAGTTCTGTGAAGCTTATATGCAATTAGCTATACCAACCCAGCATGAGAGCAAGGGTGGGGCTTGGTTAGGAAATAAGTCTAATACAAGCAGTACAGTCGTGACAGCCAGGTTTTGGATCTCAATTCTTGTACTTCCTAGTCGTGCGATTTTGGACGAATGAATTTAGTGACTCAATACTCAGTTGCCTTATCTGTGGATGGGATGACAAATCTCTGTTCCACTGGGCTGACGTGTGAGCGCATGAGAGAACTGATGGACATATTTATTACCTGGCATATATTGGGAGCTCAGCACAAGTTGGGTCGCCCCTACCCTCTTTCAACTCAACTCCCTCCATGTAGCAGGAAGAGTGGCCACTCTGGACTCAGAGTCATTTATTCAGTTGGTAGAAATCCCAGAGTTATTTTAGAGTTTGCTTTCTCACCCTGTTTTAATCCTTCCCATTCTTATAGGCAAGTGGTGACTGATGGAGACCCTCAGTTTCTCCCTGATCCCATTTTCCACACAAGACACAGCCCAACTAAAACCAAACCTCCAGTCGATGCCGATTCACCGTGATCCCACAGGGCAGGGTAGAACTCTCCCTGTGAGTTTCTGAGCCTGTTAACTGTTTGCAGAAGTAGCAAGTCCCACCTTTCTCCTGCCGATCAGCTGGTGGTTTTGAACCAGGGACCTTACAGGATCTCCTACATTGGAAACTCAAGGCATCTTTCACCTGTTACTGGATTCAGAATTACTCGAAGCTCTGCGTCAAGGAAAGCCATTTCTGAATACTGGGTCTTTGAATGAATGGGAGGGAGGAGAGAGGAAGGAATAAAAGAAGGGGACTGTTAGGGTTGGAAAGGAAACCCTCTGGAGGCATGAGCCGTTGGGCCCCTCACAGAAAGAAAAGCTGCTGGGAGAGGAAGAGTTAAAGTTACCAAATGGTCTTGAGACTAGTTGGAAGCCATTAGAACAAGCTTGGCAAAGTCTCTGAATGAAACCTTGGGACATGTTTGGAAAACACATCAAGGCTAGTTACCTGTCAGGTGTGCCCTTGGCTTAGCTCCATCTGCTCTGGACTGTTTGTCTGTAACAAAAGGAGAAACCTACTTTGTAAGGGTCAAAAGATGACGCAAGAGAAGCCAGTACTTGGGGGTTCTGCATGGAGCCTATGATGGGAGAGAAGCAGGCCTCTTCTTCAGGTTGAGCATTCCACCCCTTAGGGGGGCGGTTTGGATTGGAACCGAGACAGGAGAAGATTGAGGAGGCAGAGTCTTGAATGCAAATGAATTTGGGCCACATGGCTTGGGGCACGTTGCCTCCCTGCCTGAGACTCTGCTTTCAGGTTGGGTTCAGCAATCCCTCCCATGAATGGAGGGTGCTCAGCATGATCCCTGGCACAGGGTCAGTTCTCAACAAACAACAGCTTGCCTCTCCTTTCCTCTTTCAGCCATCTGCTCCGGCTGGTCCTGTGGGAGCTAATTAGCCTGTGTCTTCTGCAGTGTCCCATTAACCATACCCACTGATGTCTATGGATGGACTGACAACCAGGATGGGGAACAGATGGAAACCGCTCTGTCACTCATTGACTTTGGCAGGCCACTGACCCTCTTTAGGCCTGTTTCCTCCGTACTATTCTAGAAGAAGTTAGGATTTCTCTTTGGTTCTCAGAGATGATCAAATTGGACAAGTGTATTCTCACTGCAATAAAGACGATGATGACTCTCATCACAATCAAAAGTTCAAGGAGTACCTTTGATCTCCTAGGTCCACTCCTAGGGCATTGTTCTCTTATAAGATTGCATTTCTTGAATTCATACAAATATTATCAGGTAAGTACCACTAAAACAATTTCTGCCGATGAAGAAATTGAGGCATAGATAGGTGAGGTCTGAGCTCTGACCATGAGTCCCCCACACCAGGAGTCTTGAACTTTCTTGGCGCCTACAGAGGAGCCTCATTGTTTTCCTGGATTGGCATCCTTTGGCCGAGGATTTGTCCATTTCAGACCCAATGCTGAGCCTCCTGTACATCAGAACTACCAGGAATGTTCTTATTCCCCACAAGAAAAGGCATTAAAGATGAATTGACTTACAGGCTCTCTGATGTGATGGTCCAAACTCTTGTCCCTTTTGAGGCTGTTGGAAGAGACAGATATGATTCAGGCCAGTTGTATCACCCAGACCCCAACACGTACACAAAGCAAGCTGCCCATGAAACCCAAGCCAAATCCACTGCCATCGAACCAATTCTGACTCAGAGCACCCCAGTCAGAGTTTCTGAGGTTGTACATTTTTTACAGGAGTAGACTGCTTCATCTTCTTCCTGCGAGCAGCTTGTGAGTTTGAACCACCAACCTTTTGGTTGCAGTCCAACACCTCGCCCATAACGCTACCAGGACTCATAGCACAGGCATCACTAAGAGGCTGCTGCTCCTCAGCCTGGGGGCCCGGAGAGGAAGGGCATGGCAATGCAAGCATTTGGATGGAGGGTCATTTTGTGCCCACACTCCTGGTTTTCCTCCTCCTGTCACTTCAGTGACCTTCTCTTGCTTACGCTTATCTCTGAAAAGCAACGTCAAAACAGGACTTTTCCTATCCTCTGGGAGAGGACACTGCCACCGTGTACTTGTTTCTATGGCTTGAACAAATAACAACAGTTGACGCTTGCTTTATTTTCTTTTCCTGCTCACCATCTAAATAGTAGAACTATTTAAAAACAATGACCACCCACTTCCCCTCAAAAGAAGTGAGACAGAAAGAATGGCCACATTCTCCTGATCAGCCTCCACAATACTTCCTTGTTTCCTTTTGATGCACGGAGCCTTCATTTTTACCAGCCTCATGTGTGAGCCACCTCAGACAGTCGCGTGCCGAAGAGTAACTGCTTTGGAGCAAATGAAAAATGGAATCCTCTTCCCATCATCTGTTAACCGTATGATCTTGAGCCAGCTACATTAACCTCTTTGAACTTTAGCTTTCACATTTGTAAAATAACATCCCTTTCCCTAAATGGCCCCCAGTATTCATTTTAAGATCGCATTATACAGTGTAAGGCAAATCAGTGCATGAGAAATGAGAGAACCGTCCTTTGCTTGCCTGAATATAAAGTTCAAGAGCAAAATGGAGCTCTTGGCTTGGGAATGAAGACACTGTTTCAAATTTTGTTTCTAAAAAACCTTCTCTGATGTAGTTCTGACCTAACTCCAACTCTTCTTACTTGGTTCTTATGATCACACAGTCCCCACTAACAAAGCCACCTTCCCATTATCATGATCATTTGATCAGTTTTCTATCTTAAAACTGAGGCGCCCTGGCGGCAGAGTGGTTATGGGTTGTGGTGTCAACGCAAGGTCAGCAGCTTGAAACCGCCAGCCACTCTGAGGGAGAAAGGCAAGGCGTTCTACTGTCATAAAAAGTTAGAGTCTCAGAAGCTCACAGGGGGCGTTCTGCCTCATCCACGAATAGTCTGGGTCAAGATGAGTCAGCATCAGTTCCCTGGCAGTGAGTTGGGTTTTATATCTTAAAACTATGGGAGCACAAGAGGGAGAGAGAATGTGTGACCGAGGAATAGTGTATCAGAGGGAGTATAAGGGATACAACTCTATCAGCGGGAGAGTTTGAACTCATGTGTTTTTGCCTCTGTGCATCTACATGTGCTGTGGTTCGCTGTACAAGGATCCCTCCCCTTGCCAATGGAGGTGTGATTGTGCTATTCTTGGAGTTAGGTAGGGAGTAGGAGAGAGCAGGTCTGTGAACAACAGTGACCTCGTGAGAGCCCGGACCTGCAGGCTCTGTTCACTCTCCAGTTACACCACCTGGCCTCTGCTGGAAGCCTTCTTGTGGGCAGACGCCTTGTCTTCCAATGATTGATTGCCTTCACTGGGCCCACAGCTCGCTTTCCTCTCTTACCCAATGCTCTCAACGGCACCACTCCTGCTTCCTCCTCAGTGATCAGACCTGAAATCTGGACTTTGCTTCTTCTTCCATACACCCAAGCCTTGTCGTTTCTCTTGCTGTGATCGCCCCCTTCAGTTGTGCTTCCATTCCAGGTCTCGGCACTCTGCTCTTTTGGATCTGATCAGCAGCCTCCTCACGGGATGGTCTCCCTGCCTCTGATTTCTCCCTTTCTTGGGTCCATTCACTAGCCTGCCTCCAGTGGGCTTTGTCTGGAGCCTCTCTCTATTGGGCGAGACACAACTCTGCTCCCAAATCCTCAGGGGCTCCCCAGGCCCTTCTAGACACAGTAAGACCCACAGACTTACCTGGGCATTTAGGTGCCAATTTCAGTCTTACTACCTAAGTCTGTTGTGCTCCAGCCATAAGAGACAACCACAGTGAACGATTCAAAGACAGTGTACCCCCAAACCAACCCACTGCACGAAGGAGATCAATGACTCCCTAAGGGGTGATGGTCACTGTATCCAAATTGACTTAGACATGGGCCCCCAAGCCCCCCAGAAAAATGGGATTTATTTTTCCTTAAAAAAAAAAAATCTTAAACCACTGGGTGAGAATCCCTTGAACATTATCACTCCCAAAAGTGATAATATTTGTGCATCTATTATCCTTCTCTCTCTAGTAGAACTTAAGCTTTGTGCAGGTGGAAACGTGGGCCACCTGGCTTACCACTCTATTTGTGGTGCCTTGGACTACATGGTGCCTGCCGCTGGATTACGCAACGGGTGAATGATGCAGATGCTTGGGCACCCGGAAGACAGAGGGAGGAAAGATAAGAAGGTAAAGTGTAGCCTCAGTGACTTCAGTCACAGCTTCTTCATTCAAAAATGTAAGAAAGAGATCTTTTAGTTTGACCCTTTTGTCTTCGTTTCTATAAGGTATGCAATTTTCACTTCCATTTGATTTTTCTTTTTTTGGTGGGGGGCGGGGGGCGGCATGGATGTTGGCGGTAATGCAGGAAGATCACAGGCCAGTGGGTGCAAAGTCTTGTGGGTCCAGTGGTGGTAAAAGCATCTAAGTGGCTACAACAACAATAACACACACACAACCTTAATACTCAACCTATAAATATATGTACATAGATCTATTTCCCCCTCATCATATATAAATATATTTACAGCTTTATATGCCTGTATTTACATCTCTATGACTATCCTTTGCCTCCTAGTTCTTCCCTCTATTTCTTTGTACTTTTTCCTCTTGCCCCACTATCATGTTCTGCCTTCATTTGGGTTTTAGGCATTCCTCTCGGTTACATTGCCCTTGATCCAGCCCTGCAAGGCCTCCAACACCCTCCTTGACATTGATTTTGGATCACTTGTTGCTCCCTTGTCCCTGTGCTTGTTAACACCCTCTTCTTCCCCCCCTCCCCACCCCTTTCCCTATCCCCATGCTCCCCTGATGTGTCTTCCCGTTGCTCTCTCTTTTGGCTTGTTTATCCTGCCTATCCCTTCCAGGTAGACATGCTATGTACCATCACCAGACTGAGTGCAACGAAGCGACAACAGAAAATAAAACAATGGCTACAACAACAATAACACACACACATGCATTCATATATAACCGTATGAATAGTTCAGGGTCTGTTTGTTTCCCTTCACGTGTGCTTTCCAGTCAAGTCTGATGGGGTGCTGTGTCCCGGCACCACCTCTATCCCTGAGGACCTCATTGCTCTGCTCTCCCTGCTGCTCTGATGCATGCCCCCAGAGGCTGGCATTTGGCGTGGTGAGCTCATGGCAGGCACAATTCCCGCCGTTTGTCTCCAGTGCTGTCCCCAGTGGTGTGACGGGTCAACGAGGAATGCTGTGTCCCATGGTGGGGCCAGCCCCGTGGTCATCTCTGTGCATCACTGTTCTGAACAGGCACATTGTCCCCAGGGCTTGGAGAGCCAGGATGTGCTCCACTCTTTCCTTTTCTTCCCCTTCCCCCCTCATTGGCTCACATGCACTCTGACCAAACCAGTCCCCCTTCCCCTCTTCCCGAGCTGCAGCTTCAGTGCCGACCCCCCAGGCCTCTCCATCGGTTCCTTACTTCATGTCAGTGTGTTGCGTTCCTGTCTTGGAGCTCCGGGTTGAAGTCTGGTCTGGGATTCTTTTACTGGCATTTCACCAGACAAATCTCTCCAGTGCTTTTTAGCCAATGACCCTCTTTGCCTTTCCTCCCATGATTTATAGTCATTTACCAGTAAATTCATAAACAGAAAGAGACATTCATTACTCTCGGTCATAAATGCTGCGACGGATAGGCATGCCTGTTTTATTACCCATAATGTGTCTCCCAGCACTTCCAGAAGAAAGACACAGGCAGTCGGCCCCTTCCCTTACTTTTGCTCCTTCCTGTTTGTTTGTACGGGCACAGGGAGATCCATAGCCCGGGACTGTTCTTTCCCGAGGTCATTTCCTTTCTTCCCAGCGCACTGGACAAGGCTTTGCTAGCAGCCTTCAGCATGTTACACAACAAAGAGTGGGTTTTGGTGATCTAGCAAAATCAGAAAGGTGCAGCTCTGTTGTCTCCTTGTCTTTTGGTTTCAGCATGTCACCTGACCTCAGTGTGCTCGTCCGGGTAGACTAGAGAAGCAAATTCATAGAAACACTCATGTGCATAAGAAAAGGTTTTATATAAAAGAGCAATTGTATATTGAGAAAACATTCCAGCCCAGTCCACATCAAGTCCATAAGTCCGATATTATCCCATATGTCCAATACCAATCTATAAATTCTTCTTCAGACTCATGACACACATGTAATGATGCCAAATGCAGGAAGACCACAGGCCAGTGGGTGCAAAGTCTTGTGGGTCCAGTGGTGGTAAAAGCATCTAAGTGCTGGCTGGGGTCTTGATGTGGCTCTTTCAGCTCCAGGGCTCTAGCATAGCTCCATGTGTCTTCTCAACAGGAATGGCTCGCAGGGAGTGATTGAGTGTCCTGCCTCCAGCGAGATGTTTAGCTCCTCAGTGCCTCCAAATGAGGTCATTCAGTCATTCAGCTGTCACCTGATTGAAAGGCTAACCTCCACCCCTTCACTCATAAGTCTCAAATTGACAACAGATTATGTAACTACCACAGAGTGAGACTCAGTTTCCTTCTCAATGTAAATGAGCAATAATTATTTTTTTCTCAGGAAAGACCGAGCACATGAAATGGGCATGCCATTCATTGCCTTCTTCCTTTGGGCGTACTGCATCTATGGGGCATGTACTCTCAGCTCATCATCATACCTTCTCTTGGCTCTTACCAATGTCACTGTTAGCTGGCAGCACCCTCATGCTCTGTATGCCCAGTGATGAAGTTGGATCCTCTGGGTGCTCTGGGGGTGGGAGGTGGTTCTTCCTTTCCCCAATGGACATTCATTCAGTGACCTTCTCCAGTTCACAGTATTAAAGTCCTTGGGTGGCACAGGTCAGGGCGCTAGCACTAGCCAGAAGGTTGGCAGCTGGAGCCCATGAAGAGGCATTTGGGAAGAAAGGCCCCATGATCTGTTTCCAAAAGTGAGAGCCTTGAGCACGGTATAAGTGGCTGCTCCTCTGCTGGGCATGGGAGAACCATGAGTCACACTTGACAAGGCGGCAACCCAACCGTCCACAATTGGCTTCTGGATTCCTGCCCTGCAAAATGCAAATTGGCTGATAGAATGGAATTCCTCCTCCTCTCCCAGCCTATTTCAAAACGCAAGCTTGTTGCTGCTGCCAGGCTGGGAGATGATTCCCCCCCCCCCCCCTTTATTGTGGTTTGGGTGAAAGTGTACAGAGCAAATAGGTTTCTCATTCAACAATCCATGCCCATGTCCTTCCGCGGCATTGGTTGCTCTCCCCGAATGTCCCAGCACTTTCCCCGCTTCCCTGCTGGGTTCCTCACCCCACGGGCCTGGCCTTTCTTTGCTGTCCCTTTCTGCCTTCTGAACTTGGCTTTGGGGTCTTGTCTTGGAGTGTTCCGAGGGGCATGTTTCTCATGGATGTTATCCTTCACTTCATAGGCCCGTCGACTGTTTGGCTTTTAAGCAGCTCCCTAGAAGTGGGTTCAGTTCATGTCAGCAGGGTGTCTAAGGCCATGGCCTCAGGGACTCCACAAGTCTTGATCGAACCAAAGTCTAAATCTGGCTTTTCATTAGATTCAATTTTGAATCCGGTTCTAACTTTTTCTCCCGACTCTGAACAGGACCTGCTATTGTGATCCTAATGGGAGCGGTCAGCAGAAGTAGCTGAATATCATCCGGTGCTTCTGGTCGCAGGGCCATGGAGACTGTTGACTAATTGGCTTCTTGAGTCTTTGATTTCCATCAGTCTTTGCTCCAGGTGGGAAGAGACCGATCGTGGTGTCGACAGATGGCTGCTCGTAAGCTTTCAAGACCCCGGTTGCTACTTGGTCACCAAAGTAAGATGAAGAACATTGTCTTTGTGGCCTATGCTTTGCCAGTTGACCCTGAACTCCCCAAGACTATAGTTCTAAAACCCCAAGCCGAGGGGCACATTCTCTCAAGGTGATGGTTAAGAAGTTCTCGTAATTGTGCCCCTTGTATGCTCTGCTACATTCATGGAGCTAGTTGCCATTCATGTACATACATATGTAGAATGATTCTCTGACAAACCTGCAGATGCACACATTCCTACTCACTTTCCCATACCTATTGAATTTGCAGGTCTACTCCTGTATCTCTTTTATCATAGAACTGAATTACTCTTTGGGCTGCTAACCTCAAGGTCAAAAACATTAGCTACTCCTTGGAGAAAGACGAAGCTTTCTACTCCTGTAAAGAATTACAGTCTTATGAAGGGAAGACAGCAGGTGGTGTCAGATATGAGAATAATAATACAAATTTATAATTTATCAGGGGTCCATGAGGATGGGAGGGTGGGGGGAGGAGGGAAAAAAGAGGACCCGATACCAAGGGCTCAAACAGAAAGAAAATATTTTGAAAACGATGACGGCAACATATGTACAAATGTGGTCTATACAATTGATGTCTGGATTGTAGTAAGAGCTGTACAAGCCCCAATACAATGATTTATTAAAATAATAATTTAAGAAAGGATGACAGTCTTGGAAACCCACAGAGGCTGTTCTACCCTGTCCTGTAGGGTGCCCCAGTCAGGATGGACTCGATGGTCATTAGTGTCCGGTTGGTATGGAACACCATCTCCCTTTGCTGGCTCACTCCTGTGCACCTCGCGGCATCTTCCTTTGCCTGCTGATACTGTGCTGCCCTGGGACAGGACCGCTCGCAGTGGCTGCGCTGTCGTGGCACCGAGGTGCGTGGCCTGTAGGAGGACTGGGAACTGGAGGTGCAGTTGAGTGACGGATGTGTGTGCTCACGGTAGAGACGGAGCTGGTGGATTCTGAGATGCACAGCTGCCTCCAAGCTGTTGGGGTTTGGGACTGACAGATCCTCCTTCCTCGGCGTCTGCCCTCCCTGGCTCAGAGCCTGACCTTCGTCATGTATGGGGCTTGCTTTGGGCACATGCCTCGCAGGAGCATCCTGAGGATGCAAGCAAGGCGCGCCACTGCAGCGTCAGCGTTTCACTGTTTACTGCACACTTCCCTCTCAATTGTCTTGGACGAAAGAGACATGACTGTCCTCATTGGAAAGAAGCGGAAGCAACCCAAGGTGAATCCAGGTGGGAAATCATATCTGGTGCATATGGACCTTCGGGCCACAGCATTCTGGACATCATGCAGACATTTCTGCACGGCACTATCAAGAAAGTACCTTGACTCCTTATTTGACAGAGAGAAATGCAAGGATCAGGGACATCTGATCACTTGCTGGTTCCTCCAAGCTGTTGCCCTTCCAGCAAATACGTCATGTCTTCTATGCACCGACACTGTTCAGTGCTCAGGGGGTGAGGGGCATGGGCACATCTTGAGCACTTACTATATACCAGGCTTTTCTTGTTTAAATGCTGGTCACATGCGGAGGTGGAGAATTGGCCAGGGGCAGGCAAGCCCAGGGATGAGGAGGGACATGAACAGTGTGACTTCTGTGGCATTCTTGTCGCTGGGGTTGGGGGACCACCTGGTATACCGCCTATACACCTGTGATGGCCAGACCCTGCGCTAAGAACTTCCTGCACGTGGTCTTACTTCCTGAAACTCTGTGAAAAAGCTTAGCACCCTGCCTGGCACACCACGTCACCACAGGCACACTTCCTTTTATCTGAGCGTCCCTTTGTTGCATTTTACAGCAATTTCATTGTTTACAAAAGGAGGGTTGGTGGCCACGCTGAAATGAGCAGTCTCTCCGCCCCCTTGTTTAACAGCTTGTTCTCCTTGTGGGTCTTTGTGTCGTCTGTTGGCAATTCTCCTATTTCAAGCTTTTTCATAGTGCTCTGGCACACCCACTGGGCTACAGCATAGTGTCAGCAGGAAGTTTCCCTGCACTGGGAAAAACAAAACAAACCAAAACCTCTGCTCGACTCGCTTTTTTGCCTGAGCCTTGCTATGGTGAGAGTGGCTTTTGTTGCTGTTGTCTGGACCTGAACTTGAAACATCTCTGAAGTCTGCCCGTGTAAGGCCACAGGCACGAAGGGGTGAGACCAGGAGTTCCTTCAAGCCTGTGTACGTTGGCAGCCTGAGCTCACACCCAGAGGGGCTCTTATTCTGCCAGCGACTAACCGGGTGAGGCAGAGATCGGGGAAGAGGGCAGCAGGAGGAAAGGGCGGAGAGGCTTGTGGGGGGTTTAAGGAACAGGGTGTATATAGGAGGGGCCAGTGGGTAGAAGTGAGATTGATGTGAATCAAGAAGCGAAAGGTTGGTGAGCACGTGGGGTGTGTGTATGAGGATGAGTCTAGAAGCCAGAGCAGGAAGGGAAGGACTGAGACAGGGCGTGATGCAATCTTGGGCAGGACACCCTCCTCAGCATCCCTGATTTATTCCATGGTATTGAATGCCCAGTCTGTGCCAGGCCTGGTGCCTTCTGTCTGCTTGGAGCACAGAATGGGTGTGCTCATGTCATGCTGGGTGAAAACGGGCTTGGCTTCAGGGGACTGCGGGCCATAGAATTCAGTGGAGACCCAGAGGCGGCCTTGGGTCCAGCTGGAGCAGACGGATGGAGGCAGGGGATGGGTTGGGGATAGGAGAGTAGGGGGCGTGGGGACAAAAGTGGAGTGGGGAAGGAAGCACTGAGCGAGACAGCTCATAAATATCAGAGACCGATCAGCCCTGGAGCATCCCAGCAAGTGCTCTCTGGCCTGCCACTGGCCCATGGTGGAACCGCTGCTCTCTGCGATGTCACTTCCTCAGTCAGGGAAGGTCCCCGGCCATAATCGTAGTCATGACTCCCGCTGTACACCACCCTCACCCATGGTGAGCCCTCCACCCGCTGCCACACACTCGAAGCACCTATTTCTAATCATTCTCATTTCATACATGGAGAAGCTGAGGCCTCGGTAACATGCTGGGCACCATGACAACGCTTGGCTAGGTCAAGCGTTCAACCCAAGGTTCAGCGTTTTGCCCATGATTTCCCCAAGATACGACTCTAACAGCCTCCAGGAGCCAAGGGCCTCAAGCACTTTACTGTCTCGCCATTTTTCCCATAAGGAACTGGACTGTTTGAACGCACCCAGCGGCTCTGGGAGAGAGGCCTGGTGACCCTGCTCTGTATCGACTGCAGCCTAACAGACCCCAGGGAGCAGTTCTACTCGGCCACGTGGGCTTTTCTAGGCTGAACTCTCTACAGCGGACATACGGGGGCTTCACAAAGTGCATGGAAGAATTCCATAATTGTTTAATTCCATTTTTTCCCCCACGAACCTTTTGAAGCCTGCTCATATAGAAATTTTGTACCACAGAGTATATGTAGGTTTGAGAACGTCTCTCCCCACCTTGTGGCCCAGCTGCCCAGTTCCCCTAATGGGCCCAAGTAGAGTTGCTGATTTATTTTGTGCTCTTTTGGGGCTATTATTTGTTTTTATAACGTATTTCCCTAAATGTGATTCTGTGTCATTGTAAAAGAAAGCGAGGAATAGGTCATCAGAGCGGCGTTGCTTTTGTCACGTAATTGATGCGCATCCTACAGGGCCACCAGCAACACCCAGGTGTGGCCAAATCTCTCCAGCCGTCCAGGATCCTCATGTTGCTGATCTATACGGCGAGGGCTTTCCGCTGGACCTGGATGACCGTATTGCCTCCGACAGCCTGAGACGGATGGACCAGTTTCTGATGGAAATAGGATGGGCTCTGTGATGCAAACTTATGGCCCAGATTTCTAATCCTGGGTTTCTTCTCTCCCCCAGAAGGTTTCCTGAATCACTGCTACTCTAAGACTGGGCTGGGAGAACATCTGGACTCTCATAGCACTGCTAAACTGAACTAGCCAATTCCCTCGCCCGTCTCATGCATCAGATGTGGAACTCCTGAAGGCCAAGATCAAGTTTGCAGCTGCAGGGCACCTGGCGTAGAGTGTCCCTTACAGCATCCGCATCCACATAGCTTTCCTCCTACTCAGGATGCAAAATGCTCCTGAATGTGCCTTACGGTGTCACTCTGCCACCAATACTAGTGCCCCAATCTTCTGGAAGGAAACCAGGCCCCCAAGGCCTCTGCCCTGAGCTTGGCTTCAAACCCAAATACTTTTCAAGAGTCATCACACCCTTATGTCCGCTCAAACTCTCCTCAGTGACCCGATTGCCCGTCCGTGTCTTCTGAGCGGGCTAGCTCTGCTTGCACCACTTTTTGGCCCTGCTGTGAGCCTGTGAGGCTGACTGCTGGCCACATCTGCTTCTTGGCTCCTCTGCACCCTCAAGCTTCCGGTAGTATAGGGCCCGTGGGGTCAGACGGTGGGGAGAGAGAGGGAGTCACGCTTTCTCCGCCACTGCTCCCACACCCCTCCCAGTGACTGCTTTTCTCTATTGAGCCCTCAGCTCTTCCAGGCCACGCCTTCTCCGTGGCTTCCCTTCTCACTGGGTTCCTCTAAGGTTCTTCTCTCCACTAAGGCCAAGGAGTGGTCACCGACTTCCCAGGGTCCCAGCCAGGGAGCAGCGTACCAGCACTTGTGGCTGCTTCCCTGAACTCTTAAAGCATCTCGCCACACAGGCCTTCCCGCGGCTTGCCTCATCTTGAGGTGCACATCTTTGAGTGTGCCAGCTGTTCCTTTTTGCAGCCTGTGCCGAGTTCTCCCCGCCTTCGTTCCACGTTCTGCTAATGTACAGAGATACGGCATAGCCTGGCCAAACTAGGACTGCAAAAGGTCCCCAGATGCCCACCCTCTAGGGGGAGGAGTCTAATGACAACGTCGTGAACAGTCGTCGCCTAATCTATTTCCTGAGTACCTACAAGGGGTCTTTACACAGCTGCTGGGAAATGGCATGAGAAGATCATGGAATGTTTTCCATGAACTTTTGGAAGCCCCCTCGCACCCTAGGCCAGGCACTGAGACAGACTGGGGTGGGGGCCTGGGGGCGCCACTGCAGTGAATGAAGGCACTTGGCATCGCCCTTCCAGGGGCATCCTGTCTAGGGATAGCTCCTTCTGCCACCTTGCTCCACGAGCAGTAGCAAACCCACCGGTTCTCCCTGGGTCGGGCTAGTCACGTGATCTTCCAGACTTAGAATATTCTCTGACTTCTGCTGCTAGAGGAGGCTCCCCAACAATCTTGGGTGGTGGAAGTGTTGCTCAGCGGGGCCCAGCAAAGCTCTGGTTCCTGGAGGCCTCTCTATGCTTTGGTTAAATGCAAGCCTGTCTTCTGGCTAAAGGCATCTGAAGGGTCCCTGCAGCTTTAGTTGCACCGGAGCCAGCCCCATGATGGTCAAGGGGGGAAGTCTGATCTCCCAAACCCTGCAGCCCTCCTCCAGTCCCAAGAGCATCCTGACTGTCTGCGCATGTCTGCTTTTCGCCAACAGTGGCATGGGGTCATGAATGCTGCGGCCGGCATGGTGGCCTCTGTGCTGACCCCGAGGGAACCTCAAGTTGCATATTGGCCAAGTCTGGCTCACAGCTCCTCTGCTTTGAAGTTGGCCAAGATGGTTGAACTCAACGGAGAAACTTGGTTTCTCTGATGGAATCTGACACTGTGTCTGAAATGAAATCAGTCACTAGAGATTACATAGGAGCATTTTTTAAAAAGGAAATGACCTAGTTGGACATTCTTTAGACTTGCAGGTACAATTTTGTTGTTCCCAGTCCAGAACAATACATTTTCTGTGGACCACCTATACCCTTTTCTCAGACCCATATGTTCTTTTTTGACTAAGCCGTCTGGCCCCTGACCATTCCTCATGCCCCACAATCTGGGAGATCAGCAAAATCAGACCAGAGGTTTTTTAGGCTTGAGCATTAAAAATGAATATTGGATATTGCTTAAGCATATGATAGTACAGTCACATATAGGAATATCACAAACCATCTATAGTATTATGCTGATATGAATTTATAGACATGAAGAAAATCACACAATAGTCAGAGAATCCAAAGAAAACAATTTCATTTAAAATAATAGCTTTGCATCTCCCCAAATGGTAACAGTGGATCCCTTTTTTATAAGGATTTTCTTTTTTCCTCTAGTACCTTAAACAGCTTTTTTGTTTTAAAGAAAGTTTCCCAAATGATCAGCATGTTATGATCGTTAGTTGAAAATACAAGTCGAAGTTATTCCACACATCAATATAGACAGGGGCAACGCATTTCTGCGAAATCTGAGAATAAAGCCAAACTGGCCCTCTCTGCCCTTGCAAGGGATAGATAGCTCAAGGGCTCTGTGGAAATCTGAAGAACCTGCTAGGCGTCCTCTGCGGGGTTGTAGGCCAACCCCCACCCCCAAGGAGAAGTGGTGTAGTCCTGCTTACCTGGAACATGCAGACCTCTCTCTGGATGGGGAGCTGGCCCAGGAACAGGTAGGCGATGAGCCCTGCCAGGAGGGAGAGCAGCACCAGGGAGAGCAAGCCCAGCACGCAGCTGCTCCTGGCCTCCAGCGTGGCTCTGGCCCTGGGCCTGTGGCTGCCGTTTCCTGGGAGCATCTCCACACGGGCTGTCTCTCGGAAGCCCAGCTCCTCTGCCATGCTTCTGCTGGCCCTGGAGGCCCCACTGAGTCTTCCTTGGCAGGGAGACCCCCCCATTAAATAGAGGACCAGCTTTGTATGTTGCGTGAACTAATCACTCTCTACTCCTCCCCCTTCCCGCTTCCCTTCCACGACATGCTGCGGCCCTGCCCTGCGAGGGAATGTACCGCCTACAACAGAAACCAAGTTTGATTTAAGGAAAAAAAAAAAAAAAAGCAAAGCTTTCCCAAGTATATTTATATACAGTGTGCTCATGTGCTTCTTCCTTCGTTGTTTGCACAAGGAAGTGAGGAAAGTCCCCGGGGGGAGTAGATAAAGAATTCATCAAGTCAGTGGGCTGATCAGTTAAAGCCTACCTGCTCCTTGCGATGGAGTCCAGCCAGCTGGGCAGGTCTGAGAGTGTGCTTCTGCTAGAAGTGAAAGTGAGGGATGGGGAGATGTGTGGTTTGCAGCCTGAGAAATGGAAATCGCCTTTGCATCAGCACTTTGCAAAGTGCTGCCAAGTGCCGAGGCTTCCAGAGGCTCACAGGAAGGGGAGACTGAAGTCCTGCACAGTGACAGGAGGGCCTCTGGCTCACCCAGGAATGAAGATGGAAGAGCTTGGGGATCTGACCTTGTTCTTTCAAATCCTGGTCTGGGGTTTTCACGTCTATCATCCAACTGCTTGCAAAAAGCAAGTATCTGGCCAGCTCATGTTGAGTCATTGTCTAGGCCAGTGGTTCTCAACCTTCCTAATGCCACGACCCTTTAATACAGTTCCTCACATTATGGTGACCCCACCAACCATAACATTATTTTTGTTGCTACTTCATCACTGTCATTTTGCTACTGTGATGGATCAGGCGACCCCTGTGAAAGGCTCATTTGTTCCCCACAGGGGTTGAGACCCACAGGTTGAGAACCGCTGGTCTAGGCCAACAAATGAAGGCTGCTACCCACAAGGTCCTTGGTTCAAACCCACCAGATGTTCCATGGGTGAAAGAGGCTGTCTACTCCTCTAAAGACTTAAAAGTCTTGGAAACTCAAAGGGGCACTTCTACTCTGTCCCACAGGGTCACGAATCTGAGAAACTCCCTTATTGATCCACAGTTAATTGGATCAATTAACCGGTTCTGTGCCTTCCCACGGTTGGGTGTGGTAGGGAGTCACAACCTGTGATAAGTTTAACATTTGTTTCCACACGTACTTTGTGCTTTGAGTGAGTTAAATATATCAATGAAATGAATCCATCCTCAGAATTACCATCTCAAAAAAAAATTTTTTTTAACCTTCGCATTTACCAGTGTTGCTCTTCCCATTGGACAGATTAAGAGATTGAAGCCCAGGAAGGAAATCTAAACCAGGATTTGAACACAGGCAGGCTGTCCCTTGCAGGTGCCACAGTACAGGGTTTGGCAGCTAAGCAAATGGTTGATGGCTTCATGGGAGAAATACTTTGATGTTGCAGCCAAGAAAACCCTACAGGCAATTCTACAGTGTCTTGTGGGCTCTGTCTGCGTTGGGATTGACTCAAGAGCACCCTATAATGACAGGTCGACTCCAGACCCTCTTAACTGCTCCTGTCACTGTACACACGACTAGATTGTATAGGAGGAGTTACATCACTTGCGTGCCCACTATGTGCTGGGTTGTGTTCTCAATACTTGAGGGTAAGGCAGTGAAGCTGACAGAAACAAGGTTTCCTGAAGCAGATATCCTGATGTCAGGGGGTTGGTCGGGAATTCATAAACTAAATTTCTAATTTGTTCGTTGAGCTGAAGTGCTTTAGAAAAAATGAAATCGAAACAAACAAAGCAAGAAACCCCACTAAAGACATGGCAAAGGGATAGGGAATCGACTTGGATCTCATTGAAAAGAGACAGTGCATCAAGTCTGCAAGGAGAAAGAGGTCAGGCCTGAGAGTCTGCTAGAAGAGTGTTTCTGGCTTTGGAGCAAGGATGTGTGGGGTGTTCAAGGAGAATGGATGGCTGAGATGGGTAGGAGGGGATGGAGCTTGCAGTGTCTTACAAGGAAGCTGACCTTGTAGAGTCTCTTAGGCCAGGAGAAGGTCTTGGCTTCTCCTGCAGTGAAGTGGTGCATCTTGGGAAGGCTTAGGAAGGAGGGATGGCCAGTTCGGATTTCACATTCAAAGGACCATCCTGGCTGCTGTGTTGAGAGTGGCCTGAAAAGAGAAGAGTGACCTGGGAGAGACCAGCTTGGAAGTGACTGCACTAACCCACCCTTAGACCAATCAAATGTACAGGATCCAAAGGGCAGCATTTGCCCCGGCAGAAAACTCAGAGGTCAGGAAGGGAAGGAGAGCCAACAAGCAGTCAACACAGTGCAATCACTGTTGGGCAGTAAAACGTGTATGGACTGTTGAAAGGAAAACCAAGTTGCTCCGTAACTTCTCACCCAACCCACTTTGAAAAGAAGAAGAACAACAACAAGCTTTGAAAAGAAATAAATAAATATTCCCCCATTAGAATCTACATGTTGCCATTTGTCATGCTAAAAAGGATTGAACATTTCTTTCTTTTTTTTAAAATCGTTTTATTAGGGGCTCATGCAACTCTTATCACAATCCATAGGTACATCAATTGTGTAAAGCACATTTGTACATTCATTGCCCTCATCATTCTGAGAACATTTGCTCTCCACCTAAGCCCCTGGCATCAGGTCCTCATTTTTCCCCTCCCTCCCCACTCCTCCCTCCCTCATCAACCCTTGATAATTTGTAAATTATTATTTTGTCACATCTTGCCCTGTCCGACATCTACCTTCATCCACTTTTCTGTTGTCCGTCCCCCAGGGAGGAGGTCACATATAGATCCTTGTAATCGGTTCCCCCTTTCCAACCCACCCTTCCTCTACCCTCCCAGTATCACCACTCTCACCACTGGTCCTGAAGGGATCATCTGCCCTGGATTCCCTGTGTTTCCAGTTCCTATCTGTACCAGTGTACATCCTCTGGTCTAACCAGATTTGTAAGGTAGAATTCGGATCATGATAGTGGGGGAGGAGGAAGCATTTAGGAACTAGAGGAAAGTTTTATGTTTCATTTTTGCTACATCTCACCCTGACTGGCTAGTCTCCTCCCCGGATTGAACATTTCTTGATCAGCCATTAGGAAAAAAAAAATAGTCCAGACCAAAAAAGATAGTGGTTTGGTTGAGGGTGGGGGCAGCAAGCATCACAGAAAAAGGTGGGTTCTGGATGTATGTTGAAGGAGAGAGATGACAGACTTTCTTATTGAGCTAGACGTGGACTGAACATGAAGACTAGGAAGGGCCGAGTCCCTGAGGATGCTGGTGAATTTGGGTTGGGAAAACACCATTTATGATGTCGTTTAGGTGACTAAATAGAGATGATGAGTAAGCAGTCGAAAAATGAGTCTGTAGGTCCCGGGAGAGGCGGCTTGGGTGGAGATATTCATTTCAGTGGGATGCTTAGCGTAGCTCTTATCACACAGATCTCCAAAGTGGGGGCTCCTTACAAGATTATCCAGAGTCCTTGGAACCAAATTTCCAATGAGCGTTGACGAACTCCATGAAGTTACCAAGATCTGAACAGTCTTGACCTACAGGAATAGAAATTTCATATGGGGTACCCTAATAGCACACTCCTTATATTACAGAATGCTTGGAGTTGGGTCTGGAACAATATCCAATAGTCAGTCACAGAGCTATTTCTGCAGCTCCACATGCCAGACATTAGGAAATCAATCAGAAGGATTACAAATAGACACATTACTTTCATGTCAATTTTGGCTGCTTAAATGGACTATAAAACCTTCCCACTTTTAGAGATTCCTGGATCTTTGGACTGTAGGCTTGAATTATTATCATTGTTATTAATACTGTTACGATTATTACCATTTTGTGTGGCTTCATGGGACTGATCTAGGCCAATGCGAGGCTGGTAAAGGAAGACAGATTTCAGCCCAAAGATTCTACCGATGTCATTCAGAGGGGGATCATGCTGCCTCCAGCGCTGGGAACTCGCTGTCCATGGGCAAGTACAGGGAAGTACAGTACCAGCGATTGGAGTGGAGATCTTCTGCAGGTGTCCAGCTTATTGAGACAGGATGACTCTCAATCTTTTCTGGGCTGGCTCTCTTTACAGTGGGTCTGGGGAGTTGGATTTTGTGACTGCTGGGGATGATTGTGGCATTTATGTTTTCAGAGTCTTTGTGCTTTTTTTGGGTGTGCCCCTGATTGCCCACCTCCATTTCTGCACATTGGTGCTTCTGTCTCAGTTTACGGAGTAACTGCTTTTCCAGATTGTGCCACAGCCTTTTCCCTTTGGTGTGCCATGAAGGAGTAGCATGTGCAGCTGGAATAGGTCAGCTGCCTTTCCCCCGTGCCTTACTAATTGGGAAAAAGAATAATTTTCAGTAATTATTTCTTGATATCAAAGTATGCTTTGGCTTGTGCAATATCTACAGCCTTTTTGCAAGAGTGTGAATTTAGGGCCTAGGTTGACCTTCCTGGAATGTTACTAATGGCTGCAGGGCCTGGTTTAGCTACTTTTCTTGGGAAATGACTATTCCTTGGAAGGAAAGTTTTCAATATCTGACATATAACCCTCTGGGTGACATTGTAAAAAAATACAACCACCTTCTTGAGGGGCACCAAGGCCCCTCCAGGTTTAACAAACCACAGACAGAAGAACCAGATTGTGCCTGGTTAGCTCTGAGAAGGATCACAGTAAAAGGTCCTGAATAGAGGGAGACAATGTGAAACAAACCTCAAACTCACAAAGGAGACCAGGTTTATTCGTCAGGTAGAGACTCTAAGCCTAGGGCTAATAGTCACCCTTTGGATCTGGCAATGAACTCACCCTCCCCTGTTAGAATAATTCCCCATGTGAGATCAAAAGGACAGCAGTCACCCAAAGGCCGAAGGTTAAGAAAGAAGGAGGAATGGGGAGGAGGTGAGACAAGTACTAGTACATCAAGGAGATTGAAGTGGATGAGTTGAGACAAAATTCGTATAACGTGTTTCCTGTAAAACTGATGA